CAATTTTCAGTTTATGCTAAGACAGATGATATTAGACAGGCAACATCAGTAATACCGTTAATCAATAGTTGACATCATTAACTATTGGCTAAGCCTCTTTGTGTTTGTGCATGGGCTGCTGTTCTGGATCTAAGCTCCCCATCTCTCTGCCTTTAATTTTTGTTGACATTTTTACTTTCTTCCCCTCTTTCTTTGTCTTATTTTCCACTCTCCTTAATTTTGGAAATTTCCATTTATTTTCCAGTAGAAATCTAACGTGTTCCACAACCCGCGTCCTCTGCTTGACTGGCACCAGCCTTCTGCATGCCACTCATGCCCTCCGTTCCATGATTGGTGGCTGTACTTTCAGGCACTACTCCCCAAAACTCTGGAATATTTTTCCTCTATCCCTCTATCTTGCCACTTTCTTCCCCACCTTCAGGTTGCACCTGAAGACATTCCTATTTGATCCTGCCTACAGTCACCTCCCCTCCCACCGGCATTGTGCTCCACCACTGTCAAGTGTTCTGGGACACTACCCTGCATGAGGGGTGCTATATAAATGCAAGTTGTTGTTGTTCTGACCATCATTCATCCCTAATTAAATTAATTTCCTCCGACCTCTGTTGTTTTGGGATGTTGATGGTAAAAACGGCATGCCACATTTGACAAAAGGATTTGGAGAAATCAACATTTACATTCACCATGTATATTTTGAAGCAAGCATAGAAAAACAGCTTGCTTCAAAAAGTTGATTAGCTGGAAGACTTTCTGTCTGCAATTAGGATGTTTTGGTATGTAAATGTTGGGGTCCACAGCCCAATTGGACTATAAATGAACCTATGTTATAGTGAAACGGGTTATAATTGAATACTGCTATATTTTGTACTTGTCTCTCAGGGGAAAATATTCCTCTTCTTAGTAAATTTTCTGGCTTTGGCAAGCTAGTGGATTTTATTCTCTGCTGGAATAATAGGAATAACGAATGAAATGATGGAAAAATTATGACAGTGTCCTGTAGCTCAGTGGTTAGAGTACTTGCCTCGCAAGTGACAGATCTGGGTTCAATTCATGGCAGGGCAAAATTATGGGCAAGTTTCCTTAGTCCACATGCCTAATAATAATCCCTCAAGAAAAAAACCAATAATAAATTGGTCACTTCAATCCACGACTGTTTGTGGAACACTGCTGTGCGCAAACGGCTGCCACTTTTCACCCACAAATAAACGGTCAATTCACTTTACAGTATAATCTGTGAAGTGCTTTGAGATATCTAGAAGATGTGATAAGGCGCTATCTCAAATGCAAGGATTATTATTATTATAAAGGCACTAAAGGAGAGCAAGGCACTCGGACTGGATCAAGTGCTTATATGAAATTAACTATTTTTGGTAGGTATGTTTGGGGATTCATTGGAAACAGGAGTAGTGCCTGAAGATTGGAGAAAGAACATAATGGCAATGTATAATGAAGGACAAAGAGATAACCTAAGAAACTACAAGCCAATGAACACATTTATTGTAGAGAAACCAGTGAGGGCAACCTGAACCAAGGAAATTTGAGTTTTAAACTTATCCTTTCCAGTTAATATCACTCAAGCTCCACTCACTCACATCACTTACCTCCAACTGGTAGAACCATCACTCAATGGATAGAAATGCATGTCCGAATTGCAGGCAGGAGATGTTGACACTGCTCTCACATATTTGATGCTGTGAGCTGTTCTAGTCACTGGAAAGATTGCATGAATTCCCTGGTGCTTGCCCCTGCCATCCACCTCGTGAAGGCTCAAATTTTCACATGTCAGTGGTCAAATAACGAACTAGTGATTATCCTCCTTCAAAAGAAAGTGAGAGGGTCTCCTTAGAGTTGAGCTGCCTCCAAGGTAATGTGCTTGGCAACAGAATATTGGAATCGAATCAATCCTCTGGCAGGCTCAGTTGTCCAATTAATGAGACATGTGGGTCTGTAGTACTCCAGGGCGCTGTTGAGGAAAGGCCAGCCAACCTGTTTCAGCAGCAGATCTTGGAGTGGCAGACCAGACTTTGGGAGCAGGGATTATTTCCACTTAGCTACTATTAATGTGCAAGCCAAAGCCCTACCAGGTAGGGTAGTCCTAGGTCGCCAAGCAGCGGAAAGCTTGCCAGACAGTGCTCTCGATGGTAAGCTCTGCGATTTTAGATGGCTGAACTCCAGAAGTACCCGAATGCACAGTCTGGGTGCCCCAAACCTTGGTTTTCACCAATCTCTGTCTAATAAGTTTCTAGAATTAGATATGCATCCCTCCAGGTTGACCAACAATTACAACAGCTACTTGAATTTTGCCCTTCACTCACGGTCGCGTCTCAGAGCGCTGAAACTGAACAATCATCTGTTTTATGACCTGCCGTAGCAATACAACCATCTCCTTCTGATTGTTTGTGGCCATATTCCTATCCCGACCTTTTCCCTTACTGTATTTTACTTCCTATCAAAGAGATTCAGTGCTGATTCAACATTATTTTCCTCAGTTACACTTAATCCCTCCCTAATGAACAATGCCACTCAACCCCTGCCTTTCTTTTTCTGGCCTTTTTGAAACATTCAAATCCCTGTAGGTTACTTCCCTAAGCTGTATCAGTTAGTTAAAATACATGGAATATACGTTTGGTCTCAAAGTGAGCAACACAGAGAAGTATTTTGGAATGGAGGGTGACATTTATAATAATTATGGATTACCATACAGTATTTTATTTAACTCTACCAAAAGAAAACAAGTGAAGCATAACAGTTTGCACTAGCAATTAAAAATCCTTCTAGTTCAAGTTCAATACCTCTGTCATTTTGACATTAGTTTGGGAAAAAGCAAAATATTAGCTTGAAGAATTTTTGGGCGTTATAAATTTCCGGTGAACAGTGGGGTGACTGGAATTGTCAACAGACCACATTGAAAAGGATTATGTAACATAACTGAAAAGACCTTGGAAACATATTCTTGGTGCCAAGATGAAAATTATACTTTTCTAAATATAAGTCCAACATAAAAAGACTTGCAGCTCAATTAAAAAAAAGTTGTCTTGAGGTGGTGTCAGTCTATTTACCATTGAGTGTGAGAAATTGTAAAACTGTGGAGGATAACTTTAACTCTTCCTCACCAGATTTTTTCATATTTCTTTTTCACCCTCATCGGTGCCATGTAATAAAGGATGATTATTTTTACCCAATTCTCTGCCTGAATTGCTCGATACAGAAGTTACCTGGTGGTGCACCAGGTGATCGAGGAGAACCGTCTCTCAATTTCTCCCCACCCTTTCCAGTGAAGATGAGCCTCTCATTTCCTTGGTGTCTCCCCAGGCAACGTAGCCGAGTCCACGTTCTTTCAAGGTGATATGTACAGTAAAAAAAAATGAATGGGTAGACTTCGAGTATAAATTTGACGATCCAAAAATAATGCAGTTTAGTTCAAAGAAATTCGAAACATATCCTCTACAGCAATCTCAGTCGAGCAGTTAATGATCTAGGCAGATCTACAGTACTCCAAAGGCATTGTTGATGACAAATGTGGCTAGACAGCCGCGCTTGGAGGAGCAAAACAGTCATGGATGGCAGGAGCCAAAGCCCCAGTGAGTGGTCCTAGCTGGGCAAGTGGCAGGAAGCTTGTCAGACAGTGCTCACAATGGACAGTGCTATGAAGTTTTTTGCTGGTTAAATTCCAGCAGTATCCTTTATGCATACTCTGGGGTCCTTAGCTCTTACCAACGCATACATGAGGGAGAAGGGAAATAGAGAGGTATAGGAGCGCAGAGTAGAAGGCTTCTGTTGAGTGTTCAAGCCTGAATTGCGCTATATAAATTCAAGTTGTGGGTACGTTCGTTTTGGCCCAGAAAATACAGGGTCAATCCGCTTTCCGGTGAATCCTGTGAAGCACTTTGAGACGTTCTCAACCACGTGATAAGGCAGCTAAATCAAATGCAAGGATGTGTAGAGTGTAGAGTGTCAACAACAACAACTTGGATTTATATAGCGCCCTCCACGCTGAATGGTGTCTCAGAGCGCTTCACAGTAACGGATCCCCGGGCCGAGCCGGAGGGGGGGGGGTAAGGTGACCAAAGGCGCTGTCGAAATGAAAGGTCTTCAGCAGAGACCTGAAAATGGGAAGGGAGGGGGCGAGGCGAAGGGGGTGAGGAAGGGCGTTCCGGAGACTCGGGAGGTAGTGGCTGAAGGCACGGCCTCCGAAGGTGGAGCGGAGGACTCGGGGGACGAGGAGGAGGCCAGACCCGGAGGAACGAAGGCGACCGGGCACTGCTTTGAAGAGAGAGGAGGTCAGAGAGGTTGAGGGGTGGTGGGGGGGGGGGGGGGTGCAGAGGAGTGGAGGGACTTGAGTACAAGGGTGAGGATCTTTCGAATCGATCCTCTCTCTGGGGACGGGCAGCCGGCGCAGTCTGGCGAGGACCGGGGCGATCGGGGTGCGCGCGGGGTGGGTGGGCGGGGGGGGGGGGGAAGTGGGTGTGCGAATGGCCGGTCCGTTTTTCCCCGTACCACCCGTAAACCCGCACCCCGACGCTTTTTCAACGGGCGGCGGGAGAGCGCGGGCGGGCGGGCGGGCGGCCGGGACACTGTGGGTGGCAGACGGCAAAAACAAGATGCGCAGCCGGGTTTGGAGACTCCTCAGCCTTGGTGAAGGGTGGGGGGGGGGTGGGGTGGGGGTTGGGGGGGGTGGGGGGTTTGGGGTGGGGGGGGGGTTGGGGGGTGTAGGGTGGGGTTCAGACACGTGTCAGTCACCAAAAAAAAAAACCCAACCCAACCACCCAACAGCGAGCTGGAGTCCGCTCAGGGAAAGAGCGGCGAGGGAACTCGCTGGGGCTCCTTCTGCCCCGGACCGGTCACTTGTGCCGGTCGCCTCCCCTCACCGCTGGGGGACCGCGCCGGCCCAGGGCCGAGGCGCGAGGCGTTTGAAACGGTAACCTAAGCAACCGAGGGGGCTGGCCGTTGGGGCGCAGGCGCAGGCGCGCGTCTCCCTGGGCAACCGGTCACAACCCGCCGTGGAGTCTGGGCCGCCCGTCGCCTCGGAGCTCGGAGAGAGTAACGGTAAAAGGGCTTGTGATGAATGCACCGAGTAACACAGCCGGTGGGGGTGGGGAGGGGGGAGGGGGTGGGGGCTCCTGCGCCCCGCGCCGGGCGCCACCTCACAACGACGCGTCTCTTGTCAGAGGGGGTTTGATGGGGGGGGTGGGGGGGTGGAGAGGGGGGGGGGAGCTGGCAGCTTACCCAGCCGCGGCCTCGCCTCACTCGTTGGCACTCGCCGCCACTGCCACCCGCGCTCCCTGCCACCCGCTCTCTGTCACCCGCTCTCTGTCACCCGCTCCCTGCCACCCGTTCTCTGTCACCCGCTCTCTGTCACCCGCTCCCTGCCACCCGCTCCCTCCCTGCCACCCGCTCCCTCCCTGCCACCCGCTCCCTGCCACCCGCTCCCTCCCTGCCACCCGCTCCCTGCCACCCGCGCTCCCTGCCACCCGCTCCCTGCCACCCGCTCCCTGCCACCCGCTCTCTGCCACCCGCTCCCTGCCACCCGCTCCCTGCCACCCGCTCCCTCCCTGCCACCCGCTCCCTGCCACCCGCTCCCTGCCACCCGCTCCCTACCACCCGCTCCCTCCCTGCCACCCGCTCCCTGCCACCCGCTCCCTGCCACCGCTCCCTCCCTGCCACCCGCTCCCTGCCACCCGCTCTCTGTCACCCGCTCTCTGTCACCCGCTCCCTGCCACCCGCTCCCTGCCACCCGCTCCCTCCCTGCCACACGCTCCCTGCCACCCGCTCCCTGCCACCCGCTCCCTGCCACCCGCTCTCTGCCACCCGCTCTCTGCCACCCGCTCCCTGCCACCCGCTCTCTGCCACCCGCTCCCTGCCACCCGCTCCCTGCCACCCGCTCTCTGCTACCCGCGCCCTGCCGCCCACTCCTTGCCACCCATTCCCTGCCACTGCTACCCGCTCCCTGCCACCCATTCCTTGCCACCCATCCCCTGCCACTGCTACTCGCTCCCTGCCACCCGCTTTCTGTCACCCGATCCCTGCCACCCACTCCTTGCCACCCATCCCCTGCCACTGCTACCTGCTCCCTGCCACCCATTCCCTGCCAACCACTCCCTGCCACTGCCACCCATTCCCTGCCACCCACTCCCTGCCACTGCCACCCATTCCCTGCCACCCACTCCCTGCCACCCGCTCGCTGCCACCCGCTCCTGGAACCACCGAGATCTGTTTCACTGGTATCCAGTCCCTGTGCCACTGGTGCCGCGGTCTATGTTCCTGATCTTTGCTGTCTGTGCCAACCCGTGTACACCAGTAGCAGCAGCTTCCTGTGCACCACTGGCACCCCAGTCACTACCACCAGCTCCTTTCACCATTGGGAGGCCCTTTGCCACTGGGAGGAGCTCTGCTGCAGCACTGGCACTGCTCCCTAGGCATCACTGGCCCTCTGCTCCTAGTACTAGGGGCCGTGCTCCCTGTGCCACTAGCATCCGCTTCCTAAGCTACGAGAACCCACTCCGCTGCGCTCTGGCATTTGCTTCCTACCCCACTGGTACCCACTCTCTTTACAGCTTTACCATCCTTCCTGCGTCTGTGGATTCCACTCCCTGTACCATTGGCACTGTACCTGTTCCTTGTGTCACTAGCACTCACTGCCTATACTCTAGTACTTGCTGCACTGTGCAACTGGCACAATCCAACACAAAAAGCATCTGTGCCAGGGGGCCTTTCCTCCTAATGCCACAGACCCCTTCTCCGTGCGCCACAGGCTGCTTATCCCCATGCCCCCAGCCTCTTCTCCTTGTGCCATCAGCCACTGCTTCCTGCATCGCTGTTTCCTGAAACCCTGATCCCTGCTGTCTGTGCCACTGGCCCCAATGTCACTAGCCCCTGCTCCCTTCAACACTGGCACCTGCTCCCTGCAACACTATTCCCTGTGGCTGTGCCACTGACCATCCTTTCGACACCAGTGGCACCCGCTTCCAGCGCTACTTGTGTCCATTCCCTGCACCACTGGTTCCTTGTGTCACCAGCACCCACTCCCTATGCCCTTGGACTTGCTCCACCGCACCTTCTCCCTACATCTCTGGCCCTTGCTCCCTGCACATCCTGCACAACCAGCATCTGTGTCAGAGGCCTCTCTTTCCAGCGCCACTAATTCCTGCCCCCTGCACCATTGGCCCCTGCCATCTATGCCCCTATCTGCTGCTCCAAGCACCACTTGCCCCTCTCCCACTGGCCCAGCTCCCTGCACGACTGGTACCCAGTCCATATAACAATGGTCCCTGTATCCCTACACCACTGGCACCTGCTCCCTGCACCTCTGGCCTTTGCTCCCTACACAATCCTGCACAATTATAACCTGTGCCAGAAGCTTCTCCTCTCATTGGCACCAGACCCTGCTCTCTGTACTACTGGCCTATCCCCCTTGCCCTACTGGGCCCTGTTCCGTTACTACTGTCCCTTGCTCCCTGCGCCACTTGCCCTTGTTCCTCTGGCCCCTGCTCCTCTGGCCCCCATGTCCTGCACCAATGGCTCTTGTCCACTGCACTATTGGTCCCTGCGCCACTGGGCCCTGATGGCTGCACCACTGACCTCTGCTCACTGTGCCACACCGTTGTTCCCTGCACCACTGGTCCTTCCTCCATGCACCACGAGTACTTAACTTCCTGCGAGATTAAGTTCAAAACGCCTCTTTATTGAGAACATTTTTTTCCTTCTCTGCACATATTAGGGGTTTTAAACAGGTTAAGGTTCTCAGATTTATTATTTATTTATTATTTTGATGGTTTATGGGAAGGGATGTGAGATTATGCCATGCCTCTCTTCAAAGGAGAATTGAAATGTCAGAGTGTTAATTAAAGGAAAATAATTAAGTTGGAGATTTTGAGCTCTCATTTAATAGCTGAAACATTTTCACTGGAAAATAGAAGAGGTTAAGCTGCATAATATGATGAAAGATGTAGATTTAAACTCACACTCATACTTTCTACTGCGAAGAGTTGAGTAATGCATGAACGTTTCCTTAGGGCAGTCAAGTATCTCTACGCATATAGAAACCTACCACAATGCTTTAGAGTCTCCAAATAAAACTATTGAGAGTTCAACATGTGTATGGTATGGAGTGGGTACTCTCTTCTCAGAGGAATAAATCTGGGAAATTTAGGTGTAGAACGACAAGAGCCAAGGGTTTGGGATCCAAAATATGGATCAGGTATACTCTTGGCGTTTAATCATGCAGCCTAATAATGCAGAAAACCCGTAAACTCTGCTTGCCCAGTTAAGACCACCATATTCTTTAGGAATATTTGGCTTGTAGGGTTATTGGGAGCCAAGTGAAAGATTCAAAACTCCCAATGACTGGTCTTTTCCGAATCCTACTGATGAGCTAAGCTGACTGATCTGCCATCAACACTGTTCCCTTGAGTCCTGTAGAAGATGAACTTGATTTCAATCTTCCATTTGCAGGTGTGCATTTTGGAGCTAACTCAGCTCCAAAGAGACTCTGCCAAGGATGAGAATCATTGCCAGAAGAAAAAAGAGGGAGGTAGATAATTTATTTTACACACAGAAGGATGATAGTCTGGATTGCTATATTACAGTGTCTGCTGAAATTGAGTTAATTGTAGTGTCTTTCAGGGAATTGGATAAATACTTGCTGAAAATGAATGTTAAGAGTTTTGGAGAAGGAGGATTTTTACAGTATATACTTTTCATATTACTCTTAGAGAGGGGAATGGGTAAGATTTGTTTTATTATTCAACGTAGTTATCTATGATGTGTCAGTCTTGCTCAGTTGGTAGAATTATTGTCTCTGAGTCAGAAGGTTGTGGGTTCAAGCCCCACATCGAGACTTGGAACTCATATAATCTAAACTGATACTCAAATGTAGCATTGTTGAGGTGCCAGCCTTCGGATGAGATGTTAAACCAAGACCTTGGATGTTTGTTCAAGTGGATGTTAAATTTGCTCACAAAACACAGTCACTCCACTGCACTGTATATCCTGTGATGAACTTTGGGACGTCCTCCTGACATGAAAGGCACTATACCAAATGCAAGGATTATTTCTATTATATATTGTATGGCATTGAGGAGGATGCACTGATTGTATGTGTCAGGTATTGCTGGCAGAATTGTTGTACTTCTGTTTGCAGACAATATTATGCTGCTGACAGGCACAATTTGTGCGCTGCACTCACCATCTTGAACTCGGTTACTCTCTGGCGCATGATGGTGAATGCCCTCAAACGTAGAATCAAGGTTCGAGAGGAGATTTGAAGGGTATTGATTTGAAGATATAAGGTGCATCAGTCCCAAATGTCGATTCTGTTTGTATCTCGGGGTTGTGATGAACACCCAATTTTTTCTTGGATACTGTCCTTCAGCACTGTGCTACAAAGGGCGAAGGGCACTCTGGTCTTTCTTGGCTCTCTGAAGGACAGCAAGGTTCCATTGCAGGTTAATCAGGATGGAATTATAGAGAGTGGGGGCGGAAAGGCCGAACCTGCTTTACCTGCCAGTGGTGGAGCAAGTAAAGTAGATGACATAAAGCAGGGGCTGGTGCTCGCTAAGTGAAAGGAGCAGCCAAATTAGTAGGGTTTGAGGAGATCTGACAGGTTAGCAGCTGCTGCTGCTGCTCAAGTTTTGCAGAAGCGGAAACATTGCATAATGGGTAAGAATGTGTGTCCAAACTATGGGCTGGAAGATGGTGGCAATGCTCTCGTGCATTTCACTTTGAGCAACGCTGCTCACCAGGAAGTTCCCCTGACCAAAACAAAATGCTTCAGTTGTTTCATTTTAGGAGATTACTAGGACTTAAAATTTGTAAACCAAAAAGCAATAAGTATCTGATTTATGTGGGGCTGCACAGCAGGTGGGAAGGTAGTCAGAACCTCCTGACAACCCCCCCCCCCCACCCACACATACACATCTTTGCAATCTATTTTGAGGGACTCCCATGATGACACACTACTCCTTTCACTGGAACAGAGAAGGATACCAACTGAATTGATTCTTCTGCTCCACCCAAATTTCCAAATTAATGTCATTATGTTGGATTTCTGAAATGGGGCCACATAAATGGAAGGTAAGACAGGATCGATGGGTTCACTAAGTTTGGTGTCAATTATCAAATGGTAAGAATTTATCAATGTCTCTCAACAAAGTAATACCAATTTAACTCCTGTGTATTTTAGAAAAGGAGGGCAAACCATAACAATTATTAGAGCATTAGGAAGGTAGTAAGTTGGGTTGAGGGACAGGTCTAAATAACTCAACTTAATCTTGAATCTATCGCAAAGCTTAAAAATCGTAAATTTTGAATTAAAGGAAAAAAATTGTCAGCAACTTGTTATGTTTTCCTATAATCACAGTAATATCTTTCACACATAGGTACTGCGGCTCTGTTTGGTCACTTACGAACATGGGAACAGCTTTAACACGAGCGGCTCGATGGACATCTGCTGGCTCGGGACTTGGCAAATTAGAATTTACTCCTTTGAATGAATCTCTGCTGAACAACATTATTGAATTTGTAGAGAATTTGAACTCCAGACATCCACAGGAAGCGTCCTACATATTTAAACAACCTCTTCAATGGAAAACAACATTGAAAAGGAACAATTTTGGATCAGATTATACTTTTGAGTAAGTTATAGAACGGCTTGTTTTGTGCTTAGTATTTAATATGTATCACAAAAAGATTAATGTTGGAATTATACTGTTGGGAGCAAGCTGCTTCAGTTATTTTTTAACATAGAGCAGGAAGCCAAATTCATATTTGTCACTCTGCAACTAAGGGGTGACATTTGTCGCATTTCGTAATGGCTGGCTGCTATCTTGATTTGTTTTCTGTGAAGCTGTGCTCCAATCTGCCACAATCAAGATAAATTTCAATCAAAAAAATGGAGGAATCAACTTGAATTTCTTGATCTGTAGTATTCAAAAGACATTATTTGACCTGAAAATGAGTTTCAGAGTAGGTTTCCCTTGTATCTTACTCTTTTTACCATTCGACCATGGGTTTGAGAAGAAAATTCTGTTTTTAGTAATGCATGATAACATGTTAGGAAATGCCTCAAATTTCCTCCCAATACTTCCTGTTCTATAACACATTCAATTGGAGCCCGAAAAAATACAAACACTCAATTTTGATGTTCTGCACACACATGCTTCGGAATATGTGCAAAACACTAAAATCAGATGTTTATTTTTAGCATTAGTTTAATAATATTAAACTTTAACATTATTTTAAGAAAGCAAGCCCAATGAGATTCATACTTTACACATTTATATATACTGCATGGTTGGAAATCGTATTGTTCCTGAAACCCGGCTCCTGTAAGATATGTGTTATCTATTTATTATTAGTGGTGAATCACTGCCAAGAGTATAGAAATAGTGGATTAAATTTGGGGGCTGATTTATAGAAACGTACATGCAAAGAATATATTATGTGAACATTTTTTTAGCAGAGAAAATAAATGAAGTGCAAATAAAGAGTTAATATAAGTAGAATAGGAGTAATAACCTAATGAAAATTACAAGAATATATATGAATATTACAAATTCATATTGAACCTGCTTCTTTGGAATTTGAACCTCTTAAGTACTAGAATCCTGCTTGTAGCTCTTTGCTGAGCTCTTTCCAATACTATTCTTCAATGTCCTCTCAATATTGGGATGCCCCAAACTGCACAACATATTTCTAATGTAGCTTAATTAATTTTCTAAACATATTAGAATAACTTATTCCACTTCTGGAGAATGGTTTCTCGCTCAGATTGATTAAAAACTGATTTACTTCCTTTTTGTAACTTAATGTCATTTTTTATTTTTGAATTCTAACTGCCAGAATAATGGAGAATAGTTTTTTAACATTTTATTTTTAAAATTATATTTAGGCCATCATTATCTGGGAAAGAAGTGTGAATTCTATGTTCCCCAGCCCCGTTCAAGATTTTTCCTAATTAGCACAGTGTGGCTATATATTTTAATCAGAATAACTTGTGGCATTTTATATTTTAATTCATGCTAGAAGCGAGAGATGTAAGGAGCTGCAAAGAAGATTGCTGAGGCTGAGACATTATAATAATAATACTGATCGTTGCATTTGGTATAGCGCCTTATCACGTCTTTGAGATGTCCTGAGCTGCAAGTGATTAAATATGTCCCCCCCAAAAAATAGCTACTTATACTCGACCATTTATTGCAAACAAAACTTATGATATTTATAACGAACGTGAACATTTAATGATTTGTTTTGCCAATAGCCACATTTTGTAAATTGTTTTGTTCACGATAAATAATATGACATTCAGGAGTAAAGTAAATCAAGAAATACCTCACAAATATTCAAAATAATTCATCATCAGAGAGCAATCTTCAGCGCTGATAAAAAATTCAGCAACTATAATAATAATAATTACAAGATCCTCTAAATCTGTCAATAAATAATATGAATAGCAGGTACCCTAGAATAGGCCTTTATAGAGCTCTTAGTCACTTTCACCAAGGAAGCTTTAAATTTGTATACAATCTTGTAAAAGCCCATAATAAATTAATGTTTAAAATTGTTTTATTAATTTTTTGTTTTAATTTACAGTGGAGCTACAGTGAAATCAAAAGAAATTAAGAATCGAGTTGCATTGTTGTCATTTTCTATCTCCACTGAAATCATTAAAGTGCACACATTTGCTCAGCTGAACAAACTGCTGGCTCTAGCTGGGAATGGTAAACTAAAAGAAACACGGGCTTGTCTTGAAGGTCAGTTTCATTCAATAGCTTTGCTTTAGTAAAAGATATTCAGTTGCCAAGTTTTTTATGTTTTCATGATTTAGCTGGATGATCATTATATATTTTTAACGTAATTAAAGCTACGGACTCCCAGTTTAGGAACACTTCATTAAAATGAGTTTCTGAGAAGGCTTAATGCTAAATCTAGTGCAAATTTAAAATTTTGAGAATGATTATCTTACTTCTATTAAGACCAATAGGACAGTAGGATTTAAAAAGTGCTCTACCTTGTATCACTGTTGTGTAGTCCCCAGCTTTGAGACTAAGACTGCTTGAAGATTTTAGCGTTACTGATGTTTCATATCGTGGAGAATTGTGTTTTGTCTGCTTCCTAGGTACGAGTGAAACAGATTGATTTACTCCTATTTGCAATTTTAAAAAATGTTTTTTTTCACTTCAGGAAATAGAGATCCAATAGTAAATATACTTGGCCCAGGCTTTGCTACAGTGGAAGAAGAAGACACAGCCATGCTGCGTTTGCTGGAAAAGGTCAAGACAAACACTGATGACATTAATACAGAGATTGCAATGAAGTTACTTATTCTCCTTAATCAACTGGACTTGCAACTTCTGAATAATTCTTTAAAAGTAATGTCAAAGTAAGTTTTCAGTATTATTCTTACTTTTGAAATGGTGGTAATTGTAACCATTTTGTGTATTTTCAAATGAAATTTCATCATAGGGAAACTGTTTTAGGTGATGTATTAATTATAATTGACTAACTAAGCCAGAATCTAGTAAAGCAAGGGTGAACTGATCCTACAGATAGGAATAAAGGCACTGTGTTCGTCATTCAAAAGAGAGTAAAATAATTTCCCTAAACATGGGGATGAAGTGGGAGGGATTGTAACTTTAGGACACTTTTACCATTTTTCTTTGCCTAGATAAATTTTTATCATTTCACATAAACATTCCTTGCATGTGTTTTCTACCAACAAAATAATTTGCAAGTCATGAATTTGGAGGAAAAATGTAAGATATATTTTGTTAAAACACATACTAAATTCCATTGATTTTTTATTGTGGTGCAAACTTAATGAATTAATCAAGATAAGAATCCTGAATCACTTTATTTTAATTTTTGTTGTAAGTATCTGTGGTTTAATTGGTGTCTTGCTTTTCGATCGTGCTTACGGTCATCTCCTCCCTCCAGCTCGGTGTCAGGCTCCACCACTGTTAAGTGCTCCGAGACGCGCTATATAAATGCAAGTTGTTGTTACTGCTGCTAATTGATTGTTCTACAATGTAATGCATGCTATCTATGTCTTGGCTGTGAAATCCAATCATATTGTGTATATCCCTCTATTTTGTCATGACAAAAACAAATTGTCATGCTCACATGATTGTTGTCAGCCTTGTTCACTTGGTTGCACTTACCCCTCTCTCTGAGTCAGAAGGTTGTAGATTCAAGACCCATACTAATCAACGTCTTCTCTCCTGTGGGTCTGAACTCCTCAACCTCCCCGGGCTCTCCCTCAGACTCTCCGAACCCATGCGCAACTTAGGAATCGGGTTCGATCCCCAGCTTTCCTTCCTACCCCACATCCATTTCCTGGCTAGGACCGCTTTGTCCACCTCCGTCACATTGCCTGACTCGGTCCAAACCTCACAACCAACACAGCTGAAACCTTCATCCACGCCTTCGTCACTTCCCGGCTGGACTATTCCAATGCCCTCCTCGTTGATCTCTCCAACTCCATCATACACAAAATCCAATTGATTAAACACTCTGCCGCCTGAACACTCACCCGCACGACTGGCTCCCAATCACCGAACGAATCGATTTCAAGCTCCTCTCACTCGATTTCAGATCCTTTCATGCCCTCACAACTCCCTACCTATCCGACCTTCTTACCCCCCCATTCTCCGCTCAGCTGGCTCTGGCCTCCTGATTGTCCCTTGTGCCCTTCGTTTTACCATTGGTGGCCGTGCCTTCAGCCACTGCTCCCGAAACCCTGGAATTCTCTCCCTCAATCCCTCTGCCTTGCCCTCTCCCTCCCCACCTTCAAATCTTGCCTAAAGACCATCCTTTTTGATTGTGCTTACGGTTATCTCCCACCTCGTTCTCCCCATGGCTCGGTGACTTCACTATGAAGCGCTCCGGGACGCTGCCCTGCTTGAAGGGCGCTATATAAATGCAAGTTGTTGTTGTGTAACCTACTGGGAAGTTCAAATTGGACTGAAAGGATTGCTCTGAAAAGAGTCAGCAGAGACACCATAAGCCTATCCTTTAAATCTCTCCATGGTTTTGTCCCATCCTACCTCTGCAACTTCCTCAACTCTACCAACCTGGCTGCTTCCTCCACTCAGTGGGCCTGGCCTGCTTCACATCACTCACCTTGCCATCTACTTATCTACCCCTACTCTCACCCTGTTTCTCGCCTCCTTCAAGGTCTGTCTCAAGCCTTCCTTTTTGAGTGCGCATTTGACCACTGTCCCTCGACCCCACCCCCAGTTCTGGTGCAAACCTACACTGTCCAGTGCCTTGGGATCCTGACTTGAAATGTAAGTTGTATTGTTCTGTGTCCCTTGGAATGTCCTGACATGAAAGGCGCTGTACGAATGTAATTTGTTGTTGTCCCCTATGAGTTTCTCCCATTATTGTTCTACTTTCTTGTATATTTGTTTGTCTCTAGTCTCCAGTATATACGTGAATAGACCTGCATCTTCTGTGTGTGTGTGTCTGATTATCTGTTTGTGGCTCCCTATCCCCAATCTGATTGAAGTCAAAAGTCTTGTTAAATACATGGCCTCACTCCACCCTTCCTCTGTGACCTTGTGCAACCCTACTTCCTCCCCTCAGCAAGACTTTTGTCATGTAACCCGCTTGCATCATTGGGAAGGCCTTCAAACCTTCTCACCTCACTCTCCGGAAACCATCTTTCTCCTCCCTCCCTTCCCATTCTCAGCTTTTTTCCCCTCGCATAGAAATTTACAACTCAGAGGGGGCTATTCAGCCCATCGAATCTCCACTGACTCTCAGAGCTGGCATTCATTTCAATCCCACTGGCCTGCTTTGTCCTCCCCCTCAAGCCTCTATCTTTCATATATCTGTCTGCTTCCCTCTTAACACCCACAAGGGACTCTGTCTTTACCACCTACTTAGCAGGGCTTTCCACATCCCAACAACTCTCTGAGTGAAAACAAATATTCCTAAACTCTACTTTCACTCTTCGTGATTATCTTATAACTATGTCCCTTGATGATAGAACCCCTACCAGTGGAAATAGTTCCTCCCAATTTACCTTGCAAAAGTCCTCATAAATTTGTACACCTCAATTAGGTCCCCTCTCAACAAATGTAAATTCTTTGTTGGTGTTCACCATTTCTCCCAGTGTCCTTTTGTCAATACCACCTCTTTCTGATCAATCTAGTTATTGAGCCCAATCCACTCTTTTGTTCACTGCCAGTCTAACTCCTTTTCTGTGGAAAGAATGTGTATGCAGGTCAAAATTGCAGCATGTGATATAACCCAACAACAACAACAAATAATAATAATAATAATAATAATAATAATAATAATCCTTGCATTTGATATAGCGCTTTTCACATCTTCTAGACGTCTCAAAGCACTTCACAGAACATGCTGTAAAGAGAATTGACCGTATATTTATTGGCGAAACGCGGCAGCCAATTGCGCACAGCAGCGTCCCACAGACAGTCGTGAATTGAAAATGACCAATTTATTATTGTTTTGTTTTTTGAAGGGATTATTATTGGGCGTGTGGAGTAAGGAAACCTGACCAAGGTTTTGCCCTGCCTGGAATTGAACCCAGGTTGTCTCACTTGCAAGACGAGTGCTCTAACCACTGAGCTACAGGAACAAATGACATTTGTTTAGCGCCTTTCACGCCAGGAGGATGTCTTGAGGTGCTGGATGATGAGGGATCTGCACCTGAGCTGCTGGTTGGGATTAGGAGGGGTTGAGGGCGGGGAGGTTAGGGGTAGGAAGGTGATCAAAGGCATGGTCGAAGAGGAGGGTCTTGAGATGGGTCTTATAGGAGGCAAGGAAGGGGCAAGGTGGAGGGACTGTGGGATGGAGTTCCAGAGGGTGGGGGCAAAGAGGCTGAAGGCACAACTACTAGTGGTGAAGTGGGGAAGGTGGGGGACGTGAAGCACGCCGGAGCCCACTGAGTGGAGGGAGCAGATAGGTTGGTAGGGGGTTAGAAGGTCACAGAGGTAGGGAGGAGCGATCATGGAGTGCTTTTAGGGTGAGGACCAGGATCTCGAATTTGAGTGATGGGGAGCCACTGGAGTCAGGTGAGGATGGAAGTGATAGGGTCGCGGAGCCTGGTGTGGCAGAGGACACAGGCTGCAGAGTTCTGAATGATCTGCAGTCGGTGGAGGGAGGAGTTGGGGAGGCCGACAAGCAGGGAGTTTGCATAGTTGAGCCTGGATGTGATGAACACGTGGATGGAGGGTCTCGGCGGCCTGGAGTAAGAGACATTGACGGAGCTGGGCAATGTTGCGGAGGTGGGGAAAAATGAAGCTGGTCATGAGACGGATATGGGCTATGAAGGACAGTTGAGGGTCGAACAGGACACCGAGGTTCCATATTGGCTCTGTGAGGTGTAGAGTGCATCCATGAAGGGTGACTGTCAGCGCCAGAAGTATAGAGGTGCTGATGGGAGCCAAGCAGGAGGGCCTTGGTCTTGTCTTCAACCATTTACAATTATTACATGAATGAAAAATGTGGGAAAAACAGTCAATAATTATCATGAGGGAGTGGTTATTATAATAATAATCCTTGCCTTTGATATAAACCCTTATCATTTTGCTGAGACATCTCAAAGTGCTACTGTAAAGTGGTTTAAGTGTATATTTTGGGGACAAAACATGGCAGCATTGCAATGTCCCATAAAAAGCCATGGAGTGAGTGACCAATTTTATTTTGGAGGGATTGGCCAAGACACTGGAACTCCCTTCTCATTTCGAATAGGGATCTTTAACACCCACCTGAACAGGCAGATGGGACTTCAGTTTAGCGTCTCATCTGAAAGACGTGTATCAGTCTGATACCAATGATATTGAAAACTTTTGACTGCATTTTTGATAGTTAACATTAATTCAGTATCACTGATGATTTTGCCTCATTTCTGTATGAAGCTTGGTTCAATTCGTCTCGCTCTTGCCTCTGAGTCAGATGATAATGGGTTCAAGACATAAGTTCATCATTTAGGTTGTTCCTCCAATGTATTGCTGGGAAATACTGCAATATTGAAGATGTTGTTCTTTGGATGAGATGTTAGACAGAGGACCCATTTGTCTGTTCAGGTTGATGTTAAAAAGATCCCTTGACACTTTTGTTTGAAAAGTTAGGTTGTTTTTTCCCAGTGTCTTGGACAACGATCTGTGCTTGCCCATTAAAAGTAGTCACTGCACTTGACAGTAATTACTTGTGACTTATCAACATGCTTTTTTATTACTGTACTGTTCATTTGAATGTGTGCCTCTAACAACCTGATAAAACAAATTGTAAAATAATATATTGGTTTTGTAAACCACCACAGGCATCACTTGGGAAAATAGGATTTTAATTCTAGTTTAGCAAGTTGTTTTTGCTTTGTACTTGTGCACAAGCTGGAGGTAGGTGCATTTTGATCTTTAAGGAAGGGTGACAGTATTTATCTTTATTTTCATAGTGCTTACTAACAGGACAGGGAATATGACTGAACTGTCTCCCCTTGATGGAGAGAGAATCTATTGAACTGTCACAAGAAATATAAAATCTGAAACTATTTTAAAAATCTCTTTACAACAACAACAACAACAATTTGCACTTATATAGCCCCCTTTACATGGGGTAGCATCCCGGAGCGCTTGACAGTGGCGGAGTCTGACAGTGAGCCAGAGCGAGAGGGAGGGGCGAGGTGACTATAAGCATGATCAAAAAGGAAGGTCTTTAGGCAGGCTTTGAAGGTGGGGAGGAAGGGGGTAAGGCAAAAGGATTGAAGGATAGAGTTCCAGAGTTTCGGGCCGTAATGACTGAAGGCATGGCTACTGATGGTGGATCAGAGGGGATGAGGGACAAATAGGAGGCTGGAGCCAGCCGAGCGGTGACAGTGGGTGGGAGAGTTGGGGGTAAGCAGGTCGGATAGGTAGAGAGGTGCGAGGGCATGAAAGGATTTGAAAACGGGGAATTGGATCTTGAAATTGATGCATTTGGTAATTGGGAGCCAGTGGAGCCTGGCAAGGACTGGTGTGATGGGGTACGGAGTTTTGTGTGGTTGTGTATCTGGGTGGCGGAGTTTTGAACTAATTAGATTTTGTCTATGGTGGAGCTGGGGAGGCCAGCAAGGAGGGCATTGGCATAGTCCAGCCAGGAAGTGACGAAGGTGTGGACGAGGGTTTCAGCTGCATTGCTTGTGAGATACAGATAGAGACGGGTAATGTGGCAGAGGTGGAAAAAGCGGTCCTGGTCAGGGAACAGATGTGGGATAGAAAGAAAGAAAAGCTGGGGGGCGAATCTGACCCGGGTTTGGTCAGTCTAAGAGAAAGCCTGGGGAGGTTGAGGAGTTAAGACCTGCAGGGGAGAAGATGGGAGCCAAAGATTATGGCTTCTGTCTTGCCGACATTTAGCTGCAGGAAGAGAAGCGTGTCATCCGTATACATGTGGAAGTTGACCCCATGTCTGCGGATGACATCACCGAGAGGGAGCATGTAGATGAGAAAAAGTACCTTAGGGGGCCAAGGATGGAGCTTTGCGATACACCACAGGTGACTGGGCGGGGGAGGGAGGAAAAACCATTTGCCGAGATGTATTGTTGGCAGTTTGTTAAGTAGGACTCAAGCCATGCAAGTGCGGTCCCACTAAGGCGGATGAGGGAGGAGAGGTGGTGGAGGAGGATGGCATGATCGACTGTGTCGAATGCGGCAGACTGATCAAGGAGAATGAGGAGGCAGAGTGAGAGTATGTAATTTGTTACTTTTGACGAGTGCTATCTCTGTGCTGTGGGAAGGGCGAAAACTGGACAAGAGGGTTTTGAGTAGGAAGTGGAGGGAGAGGTGTGAGTGAAGTTGATTTGCAACGACAAGTTCCATAACTTTGGCCAGGAAGGGCAGGTTTGAAATGGGTCTGAAGTTTGTGAGGTTGGAAGGTTCGAGGGTGGGTTTTTTAACAAAGAGGACTGATGATGGTGTTTTTGAGGGGGAGTGGGACAGTGCCTGAGGAGAGGGTCTGGTTGATTGTGTCAGACAGCAGTGGGCAGAGGAGGGGGTGTTGAGTGTCCAGAAGCGGGGTGGGAAGGGGGTCGAGGCAGCAGATGATGGACTTCATCAGGGTGATGTTGGACGAAAGCAAGGAGGGAGAGATGGGTGCAAAGGAGTGTAGGGTAGCGGCTGTGGTAGGTGGAGAGGGTGATGAAGGAGATATAGCAAGGAGGTGGTAGGCGACATTGGGGCGGAGGAGGATGAGGCAGCCAGACGGATGTTATCTATCTTAGAGATAAAAAAAGTCCTGGACCTCTTCGCACTTGACATCAAAAGTGAGGATCAAAGGTGCTTGAGAGGGGGCTTGCACAAGATGATGGGTAGTGGAATGTTTCTTTAAATATAGAAACAGAAATTTTCAGCACAGAACAAGGCAATTCAGCTCTTCTTGTTCTTTACGTGATTGACGTGCTTTTTAAAAAAATAAATTTGAAATATATTACTGTAAATATCATGCAATGTGTAGTAAATATCATGGAGTGGAATCCTGTACCTTAGTGGTTAGATCACTTACTTTGCAAGCAAAAGGAAATGGGTTTGATTCCTGGCAAGGTGAAACGCTGGGCAAGTTTCCTTACTCCATACTCCTCTGTATACCTAGCAGTAAGTAGTCGATTGGCGGATCGCTTTTCCGGGGTAATAATTCCTACAAAATAAATAATTTGATCACTCAATCCACAATTGTTTGTGGGACACTTCTGTGCACAATTGACTGCCGCTTTTTGCCTACAAAATATAGTCAATTCATTTTACAGTATAATAATAATAATAATCCTTGCATTTGATATAGCACTTTTCACGTCGGGAGGACGTCCCAAAGCGCTTCACAGAACACACTGTAAAGTGAATTGACTGTATTTTTTGTGGGCGAACGCGGCAGCCAATTGCGCACAGCAATGTCCCACAAGCAGTCGCAGATTGAAAATGACCAATTTATTATTGTTTTTGGTTTTGGAGGGATTATTATTAGGCGTGTATATTCTGTGAAGCGCTTTGAGGATTATTATATTTAACTTCAGGAGACTATGTGAACAGTCTGCATATTTAGGTTCTGGCACAGCTTGCGAAGCTGTGGCAGAATCATATTTTACAGACCTTACTAATATCTGGCTTCTTCAACTAGCTGATATACTTGCTTTTCCAGATGATGTTGAGGGAATATAATTTTTTAAGGAGATTGCTTATTGGTTATGATTCCATGCATGGAAAACAAGAACTGGAATGAATAAAAGAATGTTAAAATTAAAGAGAAGCAATTTGAATAATTTTAGAGGTCTTTTTAACTTCCTTTTAGAGAAGTACGTCTAAGCCCTTCAGCTGTAAAGCGTGATGTGGAACTGCTTAAATCTTTCTCTGGTGAAGACAAGAAGACTGTTTTAATATCTATCAACTACACATCAGGTATTAACATTGAGAATCATCATGCAATGGATGCGTTGTGCACTCAGTAATAAAATTAATTACCAAGGAGCATCACCTAACTTATGATTGTGACAGTTATATCTGAATTTGATTTTCCTACAGATTATGAATTTTCCAATGGCTGTAGAGCTCCACCTTGGAGACAGGTTCATGGGGATATCTGCTACTTGATAATTGTCCCTCATGACACTGAACCCCTGTTCGTCACCTGTAGCACAGCTGGAATTTTCTTAAATGGGGTAAGGAACAATTGAAGTAAGGTTGATTTTTTGATTTTTTTCATAATTCACCCATTTTATTTATTAATTACTGTTTGTATTTTACATTTAAAAAATCAGTTCATTATAATATGAATTTTGNTTTTTTTAGGGTATAATTAAGAAAACTAAAGAAATAGACTATGAAAGAAAAAGTGAGATTTTCAAGGATCTAGTTTCATTTTTAACAGGAAAATCTGCCAAATTTGTGGAAAATCTTGCTCAAGCTCATCAGGTAAAACTTGTTAAATAGTTTTGATTACACTTAAAAAGACCATTTCTGATTTGTATTATGGTACCACAGTTTAATTTAATTCAGAGTTCTCAAGATTTGCAGAATTACAGTATTAATGGGGCAAAAGCGAGTATTTGGAGTTGAGGTGCAGATCAGCCATGATCTGATGGAATGGCGGAACAGGCTTGAGGGGCTGATTGACCTACTCCAGTTCCTATGTTAATCCAGAAGCAAATTGCTGTGGCAGTTTTTCTTTTGTTTTGAAGAAATAAATAATCCTCAAGAAACTACAAATCGTGAAAAGGGTATAAACGCTATATTTATCATGTGGGGTAATAGATATTTTTATTCCCAATCCGTATTAAGTGGTCATTGTTCGAGTGAGAGAAAAAGAATCAGCCAGGGTTACTGCTCCTGATCACTATGCAGTACCTCCTGCTATAAAGTGATTGTGTGCGGATGTTGGTTAAAGACAGGATTGAACGCAGATGTGTTGCTTCCTGCAGTCAATTAGCTCTCTGATATCAGTGGGGGCTTGCATATAGGAAAATACTCATTGGTATCATGCCCCAGCATGATTTAGTTCCTTCAGGAGAGGAGGGAAGAAAATTAGAGGGTGCGAAGTCTAAACATAATCGTCAAATAAAATAAGCAATTTCAATTACATTACTCCATATAATAAACTATTGATATCCCTGTTCACTTTTTTTTACTGATGCAGAATAATTGGACACACATGGTTCTGTTAATTGGTCACATTCGCTTGCTGTAATTTATTTTAAGAGGTTACTTTTAGCAACGTGATTTGTCCAATAATTTGTTACGTATTATCAGAATTTATGTATGGCCATTGTGAATGGCACACTGAGTTAGACATTGTTCTTTATCCTCTTGACCTTGGTTTGAGTACACTTCAGAGTGATGGGATGAAAATCTCTTCTATCTGTTGACTAGTTTAAAGGTCTGTATAAGATATATTTGGATAGAAAGTATTTTCTATTTTGTTGTCTATAAATATCTAAAGTAAAATGAGTTCGGCCAGTGACAGTCCAATTCCTGGTGGCTGTAGCGGTGCAGCTGGTGTGGGAAGTGATAAATGTCATATTGGTGCCACAGGAGGTATTCTGAGTTTGAAGCTAAAACATATGGGGTAGAATGGAGCACACGTCACTCTGTATTCAACTATACCCAACACTTGAATGCTTGTTGCCAACTTTTGATGCCTGTAATGAGAAAATACTCAATTTTCTAACATTCCTTACTTTAAAGGGCACAGATTTATAAAAATGGAAAAGAAAATAACTAATTGAGAGTTTCAAATCAAGCTGAATTATAAAAGGCTAAGTTGTATTACTTTGCAAAGTAATACATTTTATATTGGCTAATAGATTTGTTTGTTTTTCCACAGAAATCTTACACTTGAAAACTTGGTGATTTTGCAATGTTGAGAGAGGATGGAACTGTGATTAAAGCATATATGATCTTACCAGTTTTGTCTCCCTATTGCTTCAAATAAGCATAGATAAAATGTGAGATATAAGTGACTAACAAATTCATATCATAATCTGGTTGAGGGATAGCTAAACTTTGAGGGTAAATTAAAAATTGACTGGTATAATCTGTTGCTAATGTTAAATATTTTTGTCCTTTTAAATCCACCCCCACCCCAGAATTTCTCCACTCGCCCTTCCTTTTCTGGAGTCACAGATTATGGAGGAATATGCTCCTTTTATTTTGATGCCATTCATAACGTTGCCCACCTTGCTATTCTTCATGTCTGAGCCTGAATAATGGTTGTTCGTTGGGTGTTTACTGTTGAAGGGATTCAAATTGAACTCAACTTTTTACTTTTATAGTTCCATCAGAGGTCACTGAATAGCTATCAAAAGTGGGACTAGCCAGAGGATGCTAAACCAATGATAGCAATCTTACTGTTGCCTGGCTCTATTGACTAATTACAGATCATGAATCGAGCTAAGGATCATCCTAATCTCTATGTTTTAGTACCTCACTATGTGGTGCATTTACCTTCTCAGCCATCAAAGAAATATACAGGGCTAGATTTACTTATTGCAGTTGATCTGATTAATACCTTATTCTGGTATTTGATTAGAACTACTATGACTTACTTCAATCCTCTTTTGCTCAGTAATCTGTTATTAGGCTAGAATATTTTCCTTTACTCAATTTGTTTAATTAAAATGTTTATCTATCTGTCCAAGGACACTATCGCTGTCTGAACAATATAAATACACTTTACCAGACATTCATAAATGTTTCTCCTTATCAGACAAATGGGGATCCAACTGTTTGTTAATGTTAGCAAAAATGTAGAGATGTGCCAACAGACGCTGAATGTTGAGAGATGATGCCAACAAGTGGTGAATTTTCCATACGGTATAGTTTTACACAAGGTATATTTACTCCAAGAAACTGAACAGTTACCAAAAAGGAGAGAATAACGGGTAATTTAGATCGGTAGGATATTGTGAAAGATCATTAAGGAGGAACTCAGGCATCAAAGAAAGCAAATTAAAAATGATTTAATTCCAGGTAAGATTTAGTGTTAGTGAACAAAACAAAGGGGAATATTTCAAAGTATCACCACAGAATAAGTAAGTGAGTTAGTGTAGAAGAATTTTCTCTTAAAGAGAATGAGTTTAGCAGCCATTGATGAATGAGAGACTGAATTTGGGACACAGAACACAAAGACAATGAATTAATTACTATAGTGTCTATAGCAGTTACTACTCGAGGCAGCAGGACTATTGTACAACAGAGGAGCAGTATGATGAGGGTGAGACTCACCAGGAAAGCTGTGACTAACAGGTGCGACCTGGTCCACAACGACTGGCATGGAGCGTTTACCACTAGAACTGTATTATCTCTGGCAGAGAAGGTCCCCAATGATCATCGGAGCAGATAGTACGTTTTCAGTTCCAATACATATAAATTAATGTGGGTACTGCATTGTGCTGTTGTTTTATTCTCACATATCTGCAGTATTGTCATTACAATGCACAATGAATCATAGAAACATAGAAATTTACAGCGCTGAAGGAGGGGAACTGTAACTGAAGGTGCGGACAAAGAAGAAGGTCTTGGAATTGGCTTTGAAAGAGTTGTGGGAGGGAGCTAGTCAATGGAATGCAGTTTGAGAGTGGGGGCAGATAGGCTCCAAACTTGACCTCTGATGGTGAGGTGGGGGATATGAAGCAGACTTCACTGAGCAAAGAGAGCAACGGGTTGGTAGGATTTATATTTTTTATATCTATACTGGTTATAATTGGCCTATTAAAACTGGTTAGGCCTCAGCTAAAGTACTGTGTTCTGGGCACCACATTTTAGGAAGGATGTCAAGGCCTTGGAAAGGGTGCAAAGGAGATTTACCAGCATAATACCGGGAATGAGGCACTTGAGTTATGTGGAGAGATGAGAGAAGATTGTTCTCCTAGGAGCATAGAAGGTTAAGGGGGGGATTTAATAGAGGTGTTCAAAATTATGATGGGATTTGATAAGAGTGAATATGGAGAAACTGTTTCCACTGGCAGGTTGGTCAGTAGGCCAATTCCAAGACCTTCTTTGACCGCACCTTCAGTTACTGTTCCCCTTCCCAGAGGACACAGATTTAAGATAGTTGTTCGAAGAACCAGAGTGGCGATGAGGAGTAATTTTTTCACATAGCGAATTGTTGGATCCTGAATGCACTTCCTGAAAGAGGGGTGAGAATCAATAACAACTTTCAAGAGAGAAGTTGATAGATATTTGGGGAGGACAAACTTTTAAAGCTATAGGGAGAGAGCGGGGGAGTAAGATTAATTTGGATAGCTCTCTCAAAGAGCCGGCACGGGCACGTTGGGCCGAATGGCCTTCTTCTGTACTTTATAATTTTATAATTCTATTTTCTTTTGTATAATAGAATTGACCCATATGCATCTGTGTGAACATATTTGTTCTTGGAGCATATATTTCAGTTGATATGAAGCTGGTACATACCATTAATGTTTTCCTTTAAATCCACGGTTCACATTCCCCAATATTTTCCAAGGCTTCCCTCCAGAACAAATCCACTATTGTTTCAGATTTGGGAATCTATCTCTTTTGCTCTTTGAAACATTCTGTTATCAACCAATTTTTCGTTGAACAAAGTAGCAATAGTAATTGAGACGCTGTGATTTTGCAAATGAATTCTTTTGGTCAGCCGGATATCTGACACATCCAGAAACCCATCACTGTGCTTAGGAGTATTCAAACCAAACTGAGAATTCCATGCATCCCACCTAAACATGGAAATTTCAGAGATCTTTATTGGAATGGAATGCGCACTACTTCCCTGGTTACCTAATTCTGTAAAATATTTGCTCACATTGACAAGAGCCAGGTCTTGGAGACCACGGATTGTGTGTTGAGATACTGTTATAGTCCAACCAGCTAAAACCACATAGATTGCCATTGAGAGCATTGTCTGTCAAGGTTTTGCTGCTGCTTATCCAGCTAGGACCACACTACCCGTTAGGACTTTGGCTTCCAGGGTTAATGAGATCTGAGTGGGAAGAGTCCTTGCCCCCAGTGACTGGTCTGCCCTTCCAAGTCCTACCAATGAACCAGGCTGGACTGTCAACAGCAGTGCCCTGGAATATTGTGGATCCGCCTGGCTCAAGAACCTGATCACTGAGACTGCCAAAGAGGTTGGACTTGATTGTGATATTCTGTTGCCAAATATGTCACCTTGGAGCCAGTTCTGCTCCACGAAAACACCACTTACCTTGCCCCTCTCCCCATGGAGGATCATCACGAGTTGGTGATTTGACGTCTGACCAGCGTGGGTTTGAGTTTGCTAGGTGGATGGCAGGTAATAGGAAGTCCTTGTGAGCTCAGCTCAGCATGAAATGTGTGAGAGCATTGCCACAATCTTGCTGACCAGAGCTCAAACACACATCCCTTCCCATTGAGTGATGCTTCCACCAGTTAGAGTGGAGCTTGAGCAGCCGCTGCTTACC